AAAATTCAAGATCAGTTTGGACAGCCAGGCATTGTGGTGCAAACCTGTAATTCCAGCACTTTGAGAGGACTTTCTCCAAACTTAAAAAGAAAAGGTCTGGGGATGGAGCCCAGTGCAAAGGCCCTGGGTTCCATCCCCAAGCAAGATCCTGACCAAAAGTAAAATTCTAAGGGTTGGGGATGTAGCTTAGTGGCAAGAGCGCTTGTCTGGCATGCCCAAGTCCCTAAGTTCAATCCCTAGTACAGCAAAAATAAAATAAAAATTTAAAGGGATGAGTATGTAGCTCAGTGGTGGAGCACTTGCTTAGCCTTGGGCTCAGTCCCCACAGCAACAGCAACACAGGTGGTGAGCTGGATTTGGCAGTCTCCACTGTGGGTGGTTTTCTGAGTTGAGGTCCCCAGAAGCAGATCCTGAGGTGAGACTTCATGGGCAAGACATTGTTAGATAAAAGTTCCTTGGAGAAATTGGTGAGAAATGGAGGGAACAGGGACAGGGAATAAGCCAGGGAAAGTTCCTCTGAGGATAATTTCAACCTGAAGAGTCACAGATGTAAACTGTTAGGCAAAAAAGTACATCAAACCATAGGGACACACAAAAATTGTGAAAAGGACTCCAAGGAGATCTAGTCAGAGAACAGACAGTATCTGTTACCATCATGCAACAATAGTGAAGTTAGGGTGCCCTGCACCTCCAGAGCTTTTATTTATTTATTTTTTTAATTTTTACTTTTTTAAAGCAGTCTGGCTATGTAGTTCAGGCTGGCCTTGAACTCACTGTGTAGCCCAGGTTGACTTGGAACTCACAATAATCCTCCTGCCTAAGCCTCCCGAGTGCCAATATTGTTGGCCTGCATCATCACACCTGGCTCCAGGCTCTTAGTTCTGCTGTACACTATGCAGATGGGTGCAGAGGCATCCAGAACTGTTGATCCAGAGACTACACAGGGAATTGCAGCCTGAAGGTTATGTTGATATGGTCTAAGGTGCAGTGTCACCATCAGAGGTGACGGGCCCTCTAAGAACATGAGGAGGCAGTTGAGCTTCATGGTTTAAGAGCTCTGGCTCCGGAGTGAAACAGGCCTGGTTTTAAATTGTGGCTCTACCTCTGACCATGTAACTTTTGGAACACTGTTTATTCACTTTCCTCAACTTTCCCTTCTAGAAAAAGGGGGTAGTAAAAATCATGTCTCCTGTATGGACCTGGGAAAGTAAACTGAGGTCTTGTAAAGTACTTTGGATAGTACCTGGTGTTCAAGGCTGTTAGCTGTCATCGTCACTGTCATCATCACTGTGCTAAAAGGATGGGACCTAGGGCTGTGCATATGCTAGGCAAGCATGCCATCATGTGCCGTGTCCCATTATTGCTGAAATTGAGGGTCAGGGGACAGTTGATCCAGGACCATCCAAAGAACAGTGTACCCTGAGGACTGGTGTAGCCAGTCCCTGTAACTAGAATAACCTCGAAGGCATGTGAATGGCTGTCTCAGCTCTGCTATCATGATACTTCTCTGATTCTCTACCCTTGCTTATTCAATGCTCTGTAGGAATCTTCTGATTATAATGTGGCTTCAGAGTTCTTAGAGGGAAGAGACTAACCAGAGGAGGGTTCACTCGGCAGTTTCCATGATGGTTATTTTTCATCTTACAAATCTGTGATTAGCCTTCAGGCTTAAACTTGGTCTCATTGTTACAGCTCTGGGCCCCTGGGTAATATGCTCTCAGAGCTGGATCACTTCTCCAGGGCTCTGCTTCCCGATTGTGGTTATGGGCACCAAATCATTGAAGCAAAAATGAGAAATTACTGCTTTGTAAGGGTTACTGGCCCTCGGTCAGGATTTCTTTCTCCCTTTCTCTTTGGTCAAGCTCTCTTAGAAGATGCCATCCTATACCGTGGGGAAGAGAGGAAGGAAATTGGGGTTTGTGTACAGTTGAACAGAGCCCTGCAGAATAGAAGGCCAGGGGTGAAGTGATAAAGAAACTGTAGGTCAGAGAGCCCAGCAGGATTTCAGCCTAGAGCTGAGCCAGGGTCTCCTCTTCAGCCACTCACACCCCATTCCTTGTGCTATATCTGCCAGCATGTGTTGGGACTGCAGTGTGGGGGAAGCATGTGTTAGGTCTTCTCAGGGGAGATGAAACTCTCCTTGAGCTGCCAGGCCTGAGGGGACCGTGGGGATGGCCTGTTGAAGCTGCCTCCAATGCCCTGAGGGTTGCCAGGCCCTGCCAAATTAAGGCTATCACAGCAACTGATCCTATGATCCTCTTAGGGGAGTAAATGAGGATTAAAAGCAGCATAATTCCAAGAGCTGGGGTCCCCCATGCAGGGAGGCAGCGGCTGTTGTCCAGCCCTGTTCTCAGCCTGAGCTGGCCATGGGAGGGCCTGGAGAGGCCACTGGATCTTCCAAAGCAGTCAGGCCTACGGAGCTGTAATCCTTGTCCATTCCCTGTTGCCCCTCTCTGACCTCAACCTGCCCTCTTGGAGACTGCATGCTAGGTACTTTCCCCTGGAATATTGATTCCCTGCCCCCAAATGTGGCTTAGTTACACTTCCCAAAAAGTCTTATCTGATCCACCTGGCTGGGTCAGGGGTGCTCCCAGTCTGCCCCTATTGAAATACTCCCTGTGTTCCACAGCCATTGCCTGATTCCACATTCATTCTTTCTAGTCAGGTGTAAGCCTCCTGCCCGTAGGCGCTCCCACGCCTCAGCATATCCTCAGTGCACGAGGACCAGTCCCACGGTCTCCCCAGTGAGGCTTCCCTTTGTTTATGAATTCTGCCCTGGAAATCAAAGTAGCTCATAATGGAAGCCTTCACCAGGTTGCTATTGTCCCTGATCTCTTAAGTGGTTCAGGCTTAAGCTAATAATGAATATGGTCCACATGATACCATTATGATCTCCATTCTGAGTCTGAGGACACGGAAATCCAACCACTTGAATGATTTTCCATGGCTGTGACCAGATCAGCAGCATCCAGATCTTTGAACTCCTGAGTGCTACGTGCCTTTAGCTTCTTCTTCCCAGCTGACTTAGTGTGGTGCATCACAGCCTGCACTTAGGTTATGAACTGTTACCTCCATTTTTTCCTGCATAGGAAACTCAAGCTCCTGGTGTGGAAACAACTTACCCCAGTACACACAGCTAGGAAGGATGAGGCCAGGGTTTGCGCCAGGGCTGTGTGACTGCTGCAATTTGCTGCCTCCCCTCTGTACTGGAAGATTTGAGCTGAGGAAAAAACGGGGCCAAGGATGGATAAGTAATCAGGGGGAGGTGGGAACCAAAACAACCCTTACTCTCTCGACACCCTTCCTGTCCTCTGCCAGGTTGCGGGAACAGTGCCTTGAGCTACGAGCTGTTCCTTGGAGGCTTTCCTGACGTGACCAGTGTGGATTACTCATCAGTAGTGGTGGGAGCCATGCAGACGCGCTATGCCCACCTCCCCAAGCTGCGCTGGGAGACCATGGATGTGCGGGCGCTGGGCTTCCCTGATGGCTCCTTTGATGTGGTGCTTGAGAAGGGTACCCTGGATGCACTACTGGCTGGGGAGCGGGACCCCTGGACTGTATCTTCTGAAGGTGTCCACACTGTGGACCAGGTGCTGAGTGAGGTGAGGTCAGCACAGGAAAGGAGAACAGACCAAGAGGTGGGGATGAGGGACTGAAGTTTCAGGAGACCAGAAGAATCCAGAAGTCAGGAGGTGTGGTCCAGAGCACCCTTAGGAGTGTGGTCAGACTGGGTCAGGATTAGACAGGGCTGGAATGGCCAAGCTCACAAAGGCCATGTTTGGCTGGTGGGTTGCCACAGGGCTGAGGTAGCAGCCAGGTTCCAGACGGCAGACAGAATAGTTAGGAAAGCACAGCCTCCCACACTCACATGCTCCTGACTAGAATACAGCACTGGCTGCTCGATGGCCAGAGGCAGAGGAGGGCCTTACTCTGCCTTAGCAAGCCTGACCCATTCCCGGTAGGATGGTACTGAGGTTTCAGTGGGAAGGCAGCTGGGACAGTACTGACCTTTTAGGACCTGGAGATGATTCACCACTGTTGACTTTTCTGTCTGCCTTGTAGGTGAGCCGGGTGCTGGTCCCTGGGGGCCGGTTTGTCTCAATGACCTCAGCAGCCCCCCACTTTCGGACCAGACATTATGCACAAACCCGGTATGGCTGGTCCCTGAGGCATGCAACCTATGGGAGCGGCTTCCACTTCCACTTCTACCTTATGCGCAAAGGCGGGGAGCTGAATGAAACTCAGCTGGCCCTGGGAGCCCAGCTCCTCTCACCCACCAGGCCTCCAACCCCCTGCTTCCTCCAGGACTCAGATCACGAGGACTTCCTCAGTGCCATTCAGCTGTGAGGGGAGAAGCATGGTCCTCCGACCCTCCCTGCTCTTCTGCCCTGTGCTCCACAGGGAGCTGGAATTTCTGACTTGGGGCCGAGGGTTGGTTCCCAGGTGCTCACATGCCAAGACCTCAAGCAGAAGATTGAGCTGGTGGGACAATCCCACATGAAATCACACAGCCAGGGTCCAGACCCCAGGTTTCTGGCTTCCTTCTTGGGTTCCTCAACTCTCTCTAATGGGTGCCCCACATCCTCTCCCACCATTCCAACCAGTGATCCACCCTCCAGGGTCAAGCTTAACAAAAGCCCCAGCACACCAGCCAGCTTGGAGACCTCCATCCAACGTGGCTATATTTCCAGGAGGCTGCAGAATTTGAATCCTGATTGCTTTCTGCTTCTGACTCCCAGCTGCAGCCCCAGCTCTGGTTGGGCTATTGTGTACCCAACAAGACCACATCACAGTGATGTCCCCAGGCTAGGTTGACCTGCCAGTCTTAACATGTCATCCCTCCCTCACCAGCAACATGCACCTGAGGTTCCAAAGACCTGCCTGCCCACCATTCTGGCCTGGCTCCTGAACCCACCAAAGCAGCAGCAGCAGCAGCAGCAGCAATAGCAGCAGCAGCAGCAGCGGCCACACAAGCCCGAGCGCACGCACGCACGCGCACACACAGGGAGGGCTGTGTTTATTCACACACTTGTACAGTGAGCATGGAGGAACATTTTACAAAGGACACCCCTGGGTTGAGAACATCTCCAGGGCCACAGGTGTCACCCAAAGGTGCAGAGCAGCCCCCACTTGGGTTCCCAGGGGTAGAAGGGGTCCACGGTAAAATCAGATTTGGGCCCTTAGAAGGTGGTACCTTGAGGTGATGGAGGTCTGCCAGAGAGCCTCCTGGGGGGTCAGGCCTGGGCAGTGTGGCCATGTGGTTGGTTACTGTTGGGGGGGGGGTTGTCCCACACCAGCCTCAACAGCTGTCCTATCTGCCAGGCGCAGAAGAGCACATTAGAGACTGGGGCGGGGGGACTAGGAGCAGAGCCAGTAAACAAAGAATTGGATATAAAAATACAAATGTGCCAAGGAAGTCCCTTAGAAAGAAGCCAGGGTCACGCCAGATGGGGTGAGGGTGGGGATGGCCCAGAGGGCTGGGCTGGTGGGTGAGAAGCTCATGCAGATGTGCAGCCAAACGTCCCTGGCTGCTCGGTCCAACCCCGTAGCTGGGTCTGCAGACCGGACTGGCCGGAGGGGGCAGGGCAAGGGAGCCGTGCGGGAGGGGGTGGGCCTGGGGCTGCGGGCCTCGGGTCTCGGTGTCCGTTCCGGTGTGCGGGGTGGGGCTGCGGCCCGAGGTTCTAAAGTGCATGAGCGCGGCGGTGGCGGGCTCCAGTTGCCCTCGCGCCGCTGCCACCGGCCCCGCTGCCGTGGTGCTGAAGCGGACAGCTCCGGAGTGCCTGGCAGCGGCGGCGGCAACACTGGCCCGGTGGTGGCGCGGCCCTGCAGCCCCCGCCTGCGGGCGCCTGGGCCGGGGCGGGGAGCGCCGGCAGCCTCATCGCCGGCCCGCGCTCCTGGCCGCTGTGGGGCTGGGCCCGGAGCCCGACGCCCAAACCGAGGCGTCTACACTCCGGACGGCGGCTTCTCCCCCATCCCTTTCAGCACGTCGTCTATCCGGTCATCCTCGATCACCACTGCGCAGGGAGAAAGCGCATCAGCCGCGCGGCCTCGGGGGGCAGTGGTGAGAGTGGGGGCCCCCCCATCCTCGCGCCCCACGCAGCGACCGCCGCGGCCCTGCGACGCTCCTCGGACTCCGCTGCCACCTCACTGTCCCCACCAACTCTCCCGCGGCCGAGCTTGCTCCTGCAGCTCCGGCCCCCTCCTATGGCGGGATGCCCCTTGCCAGGGCCTCCGCGGATCTCCTCCCGCCTGAACTCGTCAGACAGCCCTTGCCTGGGGAGCCCCGACAGACCCTCACTGCAACAGAGCCCCTTCCTATGATAGGGCTCAGGCAGGACATCCCTCCAGCCCTCTCCTCGCTAAGCCTCTAGCTTCTTGAACCCACTTCCAACCCCAGCCCCGATAGAGTCCCAATCCCCTTGCAAACGGCCAGAACACGGCCAGAACAACCGAACCCCAGCCTCCCGCCCTCCAGTCGTACGCCTGTCTGCATCCAGAGGTTCTGGGCAACACCTCCCCGACTCAGCGTCGGAGCCCAAGGAACCGGCCTGTGTCACCTGTGCCCCACTCGTAAGCAGCCACAGACGCCCCGGCCAGCCCCTCCCCCTCGACCAGGTCCCCAGGCTTCGCTTCCAGAGGTGGCGGAGCATCGAATCCGGGGCAGTGCGTTCCCGAGAGAGGGGCAGCAGGGAACGACACTGCAGCGGGGACCCCTCTCCACTGCATCCTATCCCAAAACCCGGGCCGCAGAGCGGGCTCGCTGCGCTGGTCTGCGGCAAGAGCTGAGGCCACTCGGCAGGGAGCGCCCGGCCGAGGGTTTCTGGGTCAGGTGGCGGTGACTCCGGCACGGGCCGCGTACCTCGCTTGGCTCGACCGATCTGGCCCAGCTTGGGGGGTCGCTTGGCCTGGTTGCCCGCGAAGAAGGAGTTGGTGTCCTGCAGGCGGCAGCTGAAAGAGAGGTCGGAGCCCTCGGGGTCGGCGCCGTAGCGGCCCATCTTGTCCTCGCTGTAGGGGAGGATCTCGGACATGGCGAGCGCGGGGCGCGCGCGGGGCTGCAGCGGGGCGGCGGGCGGCGGGCTCGCTGCCGGACCGGCCCTAGTTCAGCGGGGGAGCCGGAGGAAGGATGAAGTCATGCAGCATCCGGGACTGCGGAGCCGAGCGGGGCCTCCTCCCCCGCGCCTCCGCCTCCCGGGCCGCTGGGCAGGCGGCGGCGGCGGCAGTGGCGGCGGCGGCGCGGACCGGGCGGGGGTGGGGGTGGTGGGGGAGGGGGGCGGCGGCGGCGAGCGCGGAATGACGATGAGCGCCCGACTGCGGCAGAGCGCGGGGGCGGGGCGCGGGGGCGGGGGCGAGGCGGCACCGGCCGGCGGAAGGGGGCGGGGCCGCGGGCCGGGCACGGAGCGAGCGAGCGCGCGCGGTGGCGGGGCGTGGCACACGTGGGTCTGGGCCACCAGACCTGCCACCCAGGACCTGAGGGAGATCTGGGGCGACGCTGGTGCCTACGCTTGGAGAGGTGCGCCAGGGGCACGAGGAGCAGCGGCACAGCCGGCGGGGCGTGGCGGGCGGGAGAGCGGGAAAGGCGCAGCGCCGCAGGAGCGCGGGAAGCGGTGGTGCTCCCGCGACTCCGCAAGGCCCCAAACTATTCCTCGAGGATCTGTTCGTCTCTGGCTGCTGGTCCGTGCGCGCACGCGCGTCTGTCTGTCTGTGCGTCCGTGTCTGTCTTTATCCACCCATCTTTGGTCTTCGCCTCTCAATAGCCGTGGCTCTGCTTTGCCCCTGTGTCCCTGTGCCATCGCGCTCTGTCTGCCTCCCGAGTCTTTGCATCCCGTCTTCCCCGGAAGGGACTCAGCAACCACAGACTTGCTGCTTGGCGCCGAAATCCCCGCGCCGAGCGCCCGCGGCGCCCCGGAGCCACGCTCGCCTGCGTCGTAGCGGCTGTGAATGGCAGCGCCACGGGGGGCGCCCTGGCTGCTGGTGACGCGGGGAAGCCCGGAGCGCCTGAGGACGCGGCGCGCGCCACCTCGTGTCCCGAGGGAGAGAAGGAACAGGGCACCCCCGCAGGCCTCTCAGCGGGCGACCGCGGGAGACTTCTGGCCGCACCTGCGGGCACGCGCCCTCTTCCCCTCACCCCTTGTCACCCCCTGCCCCGGCTGGCCGTCAGCGACCACGTCACCTGCTTACGCAAGGGCTGTGGCGCAATCGCTGGCCTTGGCGGCGCCGGGGAAGAATATCTCACTTCAGCAACAGGGAGGACTGATGAGGATCATTGTCACTCTGTGTGTTCGGTCCGCACTACTGGGGAGGCAGTTTCCCGGCTCTTAATGACCAAATCCCAAAACCAGCAAGAATGCCTCAGGTTCCAATGCCTCCTCTTCCAATGTTAGTCCGGGAACAAGCACAGAAGTAAATGTAAAGATGGATGATGTCTTCGGCGACCCAGATGGACCTGATGAGGGAAGTGTGGGGTTGGGAGGAGGTGCCAGAGGACAGCTTGTTGCTCAAGACCCCAGACCTGCGACTCCCTGCTGTCAAGTTCTCTCCTCTGTCCGGAGCACCAAAGCAGCCCTGGAGGCCAAGCAAGCTTCAGGAAGAGAAGCCCTGACACCTGAAGGCCAGAAAACCCTGCCTCCCCTCAACAGTCCTCCACTCTCCGACAGCCTGATGGGGAAGCCCCATAATTACTGTATTAAAGTGATTTTTTTTTTAAATTTTTTTTTTGTCTTTTTCATTTTTATCGGTACCGGGGATCAAACTCACGACCGCTTGCTTATAAGGCAGGTGCTTATGCCGCTGAGCTAAATCCCCAGCCCCAATTACTGTATTAAAGTGATTTATGTGTGCTTGTAGGACTTTAGGAAACAAAGCAAATCACTGAAAACCTTTGCTATAAATCCTTCCAGTCTTTCCCCACACGGTCGCATCGTGTCACATGCACAACACTCTGAGCCCCGTGGTCTAATGTGCGGCACAGAGATGATAAGTAGAAGACAGAACCTAATTTTAATTTTTTCCCATAGTACGGGGATTGAATGCAGTGTTTGCACCGAGTTACCACTCAGCGCCCTACAACCCCCTGCCCTGCAGGATCTTGGTAAGTCTGGGTTTGAGGGCTGGGAATACTCTTGCCTCAGCCTTCCAGAGTGCAGGGCTTTACAGGTGTTCCACCACACCTGGCTAAAACCTGCTTTTTTTTTTTTTTTTTTTTTTTTTTTTTTGTCTTTTTCCTTTTTTATCGGTACCGGGGATCGAACTCACGACTGCCTGCTTGCAAGGCAGGCGCTTATGCCGCTGAGCTAAATTTCCAGCCCCCTAAAACCTGCTTATTGAGGACAATTTTGTAAATGAAATTGCCTAGGGATGATGAAGGTTGTCTCAGGAGGCCAGAGACCACCTCACCTAAAGTGAAAGGAGGAGCCCTGGGGGCTCTGGCCAAGGCTGATGTGAAAGAAGGTGGTAGGAAATTGAAACTGTTTTCTTTTCCCTCCCCAGAATGAAGGTGTTTGAAGGGTTAAAGACTTAGCCTGGCAGTCATTTGTATGTCTTTTTGTTTTTTTTATTGGTACCAGGGATCGAACCCATGACCTCGTGCTTGCAAGGCAGACACTTATGCTGCTGAGCTAAATCCCCAGGCCCCTGGCAGTCATTTGTTTAGTTGTGTCTTAAATAATCTTATTCCTAGCCGGGCATAGTGGCTCATGCCTGTAATCCTAGCACTTGGGAGGCTGAGACAGGAGGATCGATGCGAGTTTGAGACTAGCCTGGGCTAAAAAGTGAGCTCAAGTCTAGCTTGAACAACATAGTGAGACCCTGTCTCAAAAAGACAAAAAACAAAACAAAACAAAAATAATCTTATTCCTTCCCTTCTGTGGATGCCAAATCATGGTTAACGCAGAAGATTTAGTACAATGTTATAAAGACACTGCACTACTGTATATAAATAAGCTTTGGCTATGTTGTCAGAATGTATGCGGGAGCCCCAGACATTCAGATCTTCTGTTTAAAATTCTGCTGTTCTGCATCCTTGCCCATGAGGGGAAGTTTTATTTTCATATCTAAAATGAAATAAAATTTGGCATTGTGCAGCAGTGCCCTGAGTTTCTCAAGTGAAGATCACTCGAGATCTGCTGGACCTGTTCCTCATAGTCTAAACAAGAGGGTGGATGGTTAAGTAATCCAGTATTAACATCACCTTTAAGTTGGAATCTGTAGACCCACACAGTGGGTTGAGTAAGAACTCTTCCATATGCATCTCAAAACATGGTCACTCAGTAGCCTCAGAAGGTGTCCCAGTTTAGAAACAGAGTCTTTGCAGATGTAATGACACGAAGATGAAGTCAATCTGGTCATGGCACATACCTGTGTTCCCAGCACTCTGGGAGCCTGAGTCAGGAGGGTCACAAACTTGAGTTCATCATAGGCAACTTACTCATCTGCAAGACTCTGTTCCTAACTTTTAAAAATGAAAAAAAAAAAGCTGGGTGTAGTGGCTCATGCCTGTAATCCCAGCACTCTGGAGGCTGAGGCAGGAGGATCGTTGTAAATTCAAGATCAGCCTGGGCTACACAGTGAGCTCAAGTCCTGCCTGAACTGCATGGTGAGACCCTGTCTCAAAAAGACAAGAAAATAAATAAATAAATAATGAAAATAAAAAGAGAGAGATGTATATCTCAGGGCAAAAGCTCTGCGTTCAACCCCCAGTATTGTGGGGAGTAGGTAAAAAAGATGAATTCATGCTGGATTAGGGACAGCCTGAAATCCAATCACTGGTGTCTTTATAAGAGAACAGGCACAGTGACACCTTCATATGGAAGGAAGCAGAGATAGGGTGGTGGAGCTATGGGCCAAAGATTGCTGGGAGCCCCAGAAGCTGGAGGGGACCTGGAAGGGGGAGTAGGCTGGGCAGACAGGTTCACCTCGTGCTGCTGGCCTCCACACTGTGGGGGAGCACATTGCTGCTGCTGAAGGTCATCCATTCTGCAGGGCTTTGTCACAGCTGCTTTAGGAAATAAATGCAAACTCTTACAAGTATTTGAGGGCGGTCTTTTTACTACGTTCTCTCATTCATAAGTTGGGGACTTAGCTGTGTAATCAAAGAAAGATACCATACTGCCAATGATTATCTCTAAGGATGATACTGAATCAATTTATGTATTTATTTCAGAATGAATTGAATCTTTCATTCTGTTTACTTTTGGAGTATCTTATATTTACCATTAAAAGGCTTTATTTTTAAAAGATTTAAGACTGATGAAACACTTGATATATTTATCAAACATTTCAGTATAGCCCCAGACAAATCAGTGGACTTTGTAAAGAGCATAGTGTAGTGGTTAAAAGCAGAGAATCTAGGACTGGGATTTAGCTCTGCCACACAAGTGCCTGCCTGGAAAGCAAGAGGTTGTGAATTTGGTTCCTGATACAAACAAACAAACAAACAAACAAAAAAAGCCCAGAACAGAGAATCTAGATTCAGTTCAAAGCTCAATCTTGTATCTGCTGTGTGACTTCTGACAAGCTATTAAGCTTCTCTGTGTCTTAGGCTTTGTACTTGTAAAATAGGGAAAATAATATTGGTAGACTATATCTTCCTGGGACATTGCAAGTGTTAAATAAATTAATGTAGTAATGTTAGCTATTAGATAGAAAAACATTCTTTATGAGTTTAAACTTGTAAGTATGTAAGCATTCCTGTTAGCATTTTGTTGCTTATCCTTCCAATTTTTTTAAACTTATGTTCATGTGTATATATATATATATATATATATATATATATATTTGCTTCACAAAAAAATGAAATTTTGTAACTCTATTCCTCTCCTATCTAATTCTTTTTTTTTTTTTTTTGTCTTTTTCCTTTTTATCGGTACCAGGGATTGAACTTACGACTGTCTGCTTGCAAGGCAGGTGCTTATGCTGCTGAGCTAAATCCCCAGCCCCTCTCCTATCTAATTCTACTCATATCCAGAGGTTTCTCCATAGAGATAGCTCCTATTATTTGCAAACATTGCACAGTACCCCATTTTATGGGTGGTTGATTTATTCAACAAGCCCTGAACTCTTAGACATTGAATCTCTCCTCATGTTTATTATAAGTAGTCCTGGGGTGAACAAATCTTGTAGAATCTCTCCCCATCTTTATTATAAGTAGTTCTGGGGTGAACAAATCTTGTAGAAAATAGTCACCTTATTCTGTGGTCCTCTAACCAAGCAGTAGAGTCCTAACTGGGTGTGGTGCATTCCTACAGTCCTGCTACTCTGGGAGGCTGAGGGGGAAAGATTGTAATTTTGAGCCCTAGTGGACAACTTAGTGATTTAATGAGATCCTAGCAAACGCAAAATAAAACCAGTACCTGGTGGGGTGGGGGAGTACCTTAGTGTGAACACCCTGGCTTTGTACTACGGGGCGGGGGGGTAGTTTATTTTTCCATCCCTGAGTCTGAGCTTGACTGTGTGACTTGGTTTTCCCACCCAGGGACTTTAGCAAATGAAAGGTTTTATGTACTGAGGTTTGTTGTCTAGAATCCTGAGACTACTGCATGAAGAAATCATGGAGAAATTACACAGAAATGGCTCAGACTGCAGCCCAAGCACTAAATGAACCATTCTAGATCATTCTAGACCACCCAGTCCCTGCTGAGCTGGCCCAATCCTGAGGAACCACGCAGTTAACCACAGAACATGAAAAATAAATGTTTGCTATTTCACTCCACTAAATTGGGGATGGTTTGTTATGGAGCAGAAGGTAATTGAATAATGTTGTTTCCTAGAAGCAGACTTCTGGGTCAGAGTACACACACTTATATGCCTTTTAATTCATACTGCTGAAAATGTTGCATCAATTTATAAATCATTAGCATTTTAAGAGGTTCACATATCCTCCTTCTTAGCACCGAACACTGATGCTTCCTGTTAGCATCATGACACTGTGCTTGTAAATTTAAGAATGAACTGTCAGTTCCTTCTCAATTCAGGATCAAGTTAGGGGAACAACGACAAAATAAAAAGTCAGAGCACAAAGGTAAGAAAAATAGGAGAACAGATAAACGGTGATGAAAACAAGAAAAACAAGTGATACACAGAAGAAAAAAATAGAATTATTCAATAGGGCTTCTTCTAAGCCTCTTATGCAGAGGTACTTAACATGTAGTCAGGAATTGTTATGGGCCCAAGAAATGATTTTAGTCATGAAAGAGCCTGGGCATGGTGGTGAATGCCCACAGTTCTAACCCTTGAGAGGCTGAAGTAGGAGGATCATCATGAGGCCAGCCTAGGTTACACAGTGAGTTCAAATCTAGCCTGAAGTACACAGAGAGGCTGTGTCTCAAAGAACAAAACAAAACAGTATGAAAGGAAGAAAAGAAAAAGCAAAAAAGGAGACGTAAAAAGAAAATGCTCATTTAGGTCAAACCTCCTAAAACCTGACAAAACTATAAACGGTGTTTCAGCATCAGAGTTGTAACAACACCGTAGACATTTAATTATCTGAGATAGAGATATTTGTTCCCATTTTAAAGGTGAGGAAGATTAAGTGAAAACTTTCAAACAACTTCAAACAGACATCAACTTGTAGAGAATCAAACCCAGATTTGAGTTTGAGCTTCTCTGGCTTGAAAACTAAGGCTTTTTTTTTTTTTTTAAACCTCATCTTCCTAGAGGAAATGAGTCGAAAATCCAGCAACTGGCAGGGAGGAAGAATAGGCTGTTTCTTACTCATACTGCTAAACTCCTTTTTGTAAAACAAAAGGAGTCAGCTGCCTCCTGAGTTTGAACCCAGCTCTGCCATTTACCAGCTGTATGGCTCTTAGCCTCCGTTTCCTCATCTGAAAGAATGAGTACATAGATTTGGCAGGGAGGTACCAACAGTCAAACTCATGACCTTGCACTTGCAAGGCAAGCACTTATGCTGAGCTAAATCCCCAGCCTGCATACATAGATGTTAAGGACCTAGAACAGTGTCCCACACATAGTGGCGTTTCCTAAGCTTGCTATTTCCCATGTGGCACTGTGTGGCCAAGGGACTAATTCTGATGATCTAGTTGTCTGGAGGTCCTTACACAGTCGCCATGGTGACATTCTGTCTTAGTCATTTTCTTTGGGCTTGACATACAATACCCAACATCCACAACTCAAAGAGGAGAGGTTTATTCTGGCTCCCAGGTTGCAGAGGTTTTGGCCTGTGAGCACCAGGCTCCAAGCAGCACATGGAGGTGAAGGGAGCCAGGCAGAGTGCAACTGCTCACCTCATGGGATACAGGAAGCAGCGCTGGAAGGGAGGAGCCCAGAAGGACCACGCCTCCAGTGACCCTCCTCCCACAGCACATTCAGCTAAACCAGTACTGAGTACTGCATCCCAGCCACCCAGTCACCCCCAAGAGCCCTGCCTGAGTCCATGAGGCTCTTGGGGGACTTTTAGATATAAACCGTAACACGGTCACGCAACCACATTGTGGCTAGGTTTCCCCTGGTGCATGACTGACCCTGCTGCCGTGTTTCTTTCATCCAGTTTTCTGGGGGAAGGTATGACACTTTCATGGTCTTCAGAGTGAGCACAAACAACTCCAGAGGGTTTTCCTGAGTACACCTCCTAGCTGGGGATATAGCTCAGTGGCACAAGTGCCTGCCTAGCAAACACAAGGTCCTGAGTTTGATTCCCAGTACAAAAAAAAAAAAAAAAAAAAAAAAATGCCAAGTAGACTTCCTGAGTCTGACCCCAGTGCAGCTAGATGTGAAAGCTCCTTGCTTGGGGAACCCTAACTAACCTAGCACCCATGTGCATCCTCCACCACCTGGGAGAGAACAGGTCCCCTTGCAACTTAAAATTCCTGTGTCTAGCTATGGACTTGAACAATAATAATTAAAATAAGACAATGATATCACACCAAGTGCCTTTTAGGTACCTGGAGGAAGAACAGTCTCTCTTATGTTTTCAAATTCATATTGCTAAACACACTTTACAAAAAGGAGTCAAGACGCCCTGGGTTTGAACCTAGCTCTGCCGCTTACCAGCCTTGCGGTAAACTGGGGTCCTAACCACTTTACAAATACTGTTTCATTTAGTTCTCACAACTACCCTTTGAAGCAAGTAATGTTCTTATTTCCATTTAACAGATGGGGAAACTGAGTCTGAATCCAGAATCTTTCATCCTGATGGTGACACAGAACTGTCTTCTGTTTGAGTATATGTAAAGTTGGGGTGGAAAAATGTCCAAGAAAGCAATCCAGCACTTGTCAGCCCGAGATCCATTCTCCTTGGCCCTTTTTCAGCCGCAGGAATGCTCTGTGCTAGACCCACTGGTGTCTGAGAGCCTTGATGGGAGTGAAGCAACACCTGCTACCACTTCAAGCCTCCTTAGGTCGAATCCGCCACGTGTGGGGAGAGGAGGGTGAGGCCCCCTCTCTCTGCCTGGTTGTAAAATCCGCCAGGCTCTCCTGCCTGCGGCAGACTGTGACAACACCAGGCCTGATTAAGGAATGACAATATGGAAGGCAGATGGCAGATGCACGATGCCACGCCGTCTCACTTCAGTTACACATTGCCTGAGTTTTTTTTTTTTTCTTCCTTGTAAACCTCCCAAATAAATTCGTTTGCTTTCCCCAAGTTAGAAGTGTTAGAGCGTCTTTTCTTTAAATATCTGTGGATGGCTGTTTTTTTCCCTGCCCGTTTGTCACCATCTGTAACCCTCCTTCTAAGGAGATAGCTGCTGACAGCCATCATTTTGGTAAGTGAAAGCATGGCCTGGGAGCAACATGCAGGAGCCGAGTCAGTGTGGGCTGTGTGTGTAGCTATGCTGCCCCTGCTCTTGGAGTGTATGTGTGTGCGCGCACGCGTGTATCAGGGGCAGTGTGGATGGGGCTGTGTGTGCACACACTGAGTGTACAGGGTGCATGCGTTCTGAGTCTGTGTGTGTGCGGATCGTGCGGTGGGGACGCGTGCTTGCCTGTGTGCCCGGGGTCTGGGTGCTCCATGTAGGCCTCCTGTGGATGGGGGGTGGGTGGGGAGGGGCTTTGTGCTCTAGGTGCCCACCGAAGAAGGGTGGTGCCAACTCCTGGCAGAAGATGTCCCTCTGGAGTGTTCAAAGAGACGGACTGGGGAGAGCCTGCAGTTTGGAGAATTGGGCCAAGCAAGACTAACAGTCGATTCCAGGGATGGCGCGCCTCTGAGATGGAGGGGTCCAGGCAGGGCTGCTGGCCCGAGCGCTCCGCCCTCCCCGCTCTCCCCACCCCCGGGCACCGCGCCGCGCCGCGGGGGAGGGGAACTGGGGTGGCGGCGGGGCCGCGGCGGCCAAGCTAGGGGTAGCGGCCGTGCCGCGATGGCGCTCGGTGGCGTCGGCGGTGGCGGGGCCCGGCGAGGGGCTGGGGCTGCGGGCCCGGAGAGGGTCACCCATCCGGAGCCCTGAGTCGCTGCCCGGTCCGGCTCCACCATGAGCGTCGCGCTGCAGGAGCTGGGTGGCGGTGGCGGTGGCAACGTGAGTGGGAGCCCGGGCTCCGGGGAGGGGACTCGGGCGGAGGCGCAGGGAGCAGGCGGCGTGCGGCAGGGGCTCGGGGCGCTGAGATGGCTGTGCGCGCGGGGGCAGGGGACAGGGCGTCGCGGGGACCCCAGGCCCCGCAACGCGGCAGGTGGTTGGCAGGGCTGGGTCTGCGCCCTCTGTGCCTGACCCACATGGCGCCCCCCACTTCCGGCAGATGGTGGAGTACAAGCGGGCCACGCTGCGGGAGGATGACGCGCCCGAGACCCCCGGAGAGGGCGGGGCCTCCCGGGATGCTGTGGAGGTGGGCACAGGGCTTCCCCCTTCTTCCCCAGGCCCCAGGCCCGGCCTGACGCCCCGCACGCCCAGCAGCCCCGGCCAGTTCCGGAGGGCCACGTGCCCCCAAGTCTGCTCCTTCACCGGCCTCTGCACTAGGACCACGGTGAGGCGATTCAAAGCCATGACGCTGCACAAAACAGGCCTGCCTCGTTGCCCAGGCCTGAGTCAGCTCCTGCAGCCAGTGAGCAAGGCCTAGAAATGGCCCGCATCGCCACCCTCTGGGAAGAGGGCTATGACCTTTGCGGTCCCCGCTCAGCAGCTCAGCCGCCCATCTGTCCCCCTGTGCTCGCAGGTGGGATTCCGGAAGGGGACCACGCAGCCCTTCGGCCCACGCACACAGCTGGAGCTGGCCTTGACGGGTGTCTCTCTGTTGCTGGCGGCTCTGCTTCTGGGCTGCCTGGTGGCCCTGGGGCTCCAGTCTCACACAGGTAGGTGGGTCCAAGCTTGTCACCCTCCCACGAAGCCATAGAGAGTCTGGAGATTGAGGGTGGCTACGATTTTCTCTGGTGGGGCTGTTTTTCAGCCTTCTCACACTCAGGGCCCTTCTGATGGTCTCCTGCCCTCTGGTCACATCCCCTGCCACAGATCCATCCCACAGCACGTGTCTCACGGAAGCCTGCATTCGAGTGGCCGGAAAAATCCTGGAGTCCCTGGACCGCGGGGTGAGCCCCTGTGAGGACTTTTACCAGTTCTCCTGTGGGGGCTGGATTCGGAAGAACCCCTTGCCCGATGGGCGTTCCCGCTGGAACACCTTCAACAGCTTGTGGGACCAGAACCAGGCAGTCCTCAAGCACCTGCTGGGTGAGTGAAGCTGTCAGGTGGCTGCTGTGCTCTTCCTATGCCTCGAGACCAGCATGGCCTGGCACTTTAGTAGGTGCTCGATAAATGTCCCCAGGGGAGAGGTAGATGAGGGATTGCTCTGTGCGCTGTCTTGAGGAAGGGCATGCGGAGAATGGGGGAGGGGGGAGCTCCTGGAAAATGGAGTTGGGTGTGAGGGGCAGATTGTGGTAGGTACTAGGGACCGTCTCGTGCATCCTATTGGATCTGAATTAGGCCCCTGCTCACTGGCAGAGCAGGTAGAGGGGCCAGAGCTGGGGTCTCCCTCTTGGAAGTTGACCCAGGTGTCCCCCCTCCCCCCGCGCTCCGTGCTCTGTCCCCGCAGAAAATGCTACCTTCAACTCCAGCAGCGAAGCGGAGCGGAAGACGCAGCGCTTCTACCTGTCCTGCCTGCAGGTGGAGCGCATCCAGGAGCTGGGTGCCCGGCCTCTGCGGGACCTCATTGACAAGGCAGGGGCGCTGGGGAGCCGCCGGCAGGGGGCGCGGGAGGGACGCTGGAAGGGGACTCCTCCAGGAGCGCTTTGGGGGGGCCCCTAGGCTAGAGCTTCCGCTTACGATCTCTGCTCAGATTGGTGGATGGAACATTACGGGTCCCTGGGACCAGGACAACTTCATGGAGGTTCTGAAGGCCGTGGCGGGGACTTATAGGGCCACCCCCTTCTTCACGGTCTACGTCAACGCGGACTCGAAGAGTTCCAACAGCAACATCATCCAGGTGCTGGGCTGGGGAAGGTAGGGAGGGGCGCAGACATCACCCCCACCCCACCCCACCCTGCCCCACCCCGGGAGTCCAGTGGCTGGGGGTGGCAGAGGGGACTCAGCTTCTTTCCTTGCTATTGCAGGTGGACCAGTCTGGGCTCTTCCTGCCCTCTCGCGATTACTACTTAAACAGAACTGCCAATGAGAAAGTAAGGAACAGCCCGAGAGCCCCATTCCCAGCCCTTATACTTGAAAGCATACATACACGGTCTGATTCCCCGCCCCCCCCCCCATGTACTTTTCTCTTTGCCTGGGGTCAGAGAGGGGAGGTAACGTATTGCCTAGCAGGCTGACGGCTCTTTTTGCCTTCTCTTCCTTCTTTTCTTCCTCTTATTTTGCCACAAAACGTCTTCCTCCTCTTTTTTTTTTTAATGGTATCAGGGATGGAACTCACGACCTTATGCATGCCAGGCAGGTTCTTGTGCTGCTGAGCTAAATCCCTATCCCACTCTTTTTAAAACAGTGCTGGAAATTTAAACCCAGGGCCTCGCGCATGCTAGGCAAGTGCTCTTCCGCTGAGCCCTCGGCCCCCGGCAAATATTTTAGAGGCACCCACTACATAGCTGCTGCAGTGTGGAGTTCTGAGGTGTGAGTTTCAGAGATGCTGTCACTAGAAGTTTTCAGTTTTGATTGATGTGCACTCAGCCTAGAATGAGGCTCCAAAGAGGATCTCTGGGAATCAGGGGAGACTTGGGAGAGACTGAAGAGACTGAATTTGAGCCAGGTCCTGTAGAATATATGGGGTGAACAAGTCCAGCCTGGGTGCAGAGAACAGGTTAGAGTGTAGAAGAGACAAGGGCAAGGTGTGTTCTGACAGTGGTAAAGGTCCTGTTTGCTCAAAGTGAATGGGAGTCCAACTACTTTGGAGGCTGAGGCAGGAGGACTGTAGGCTTGTGGCTGTCCTGGCTAATTCAGTGAGATCTTGCCTCAAAGTTTTAAAAAATTAAAAAGGGGTGAGTGTCGATGTCCGCTCCCGGCCGGCAGGAAGGACACACGACAAAGCCTGGCAGTGGACAACCTTTTCTTTTATTTTCCTTCTCCGTACAGCCTGCCCTGGGATCGCTCCCAGCCGAAGCCTCCTCTGGTCCGCTCCCCGCGGCTCCTTCCGGGCTTCGCTCCGAAGCCTCTACCGGTCCGCTCTCCGCGGCTCCTTCTGGGCTTCTACTTCCGGGCTTCTTCTTCCCCCCCAGGGGTGGCACCAGTATATGTACAGATACAGTGTCCAATCATGTTAAAGTGAGCAAGGCAAGCTGATTGGCTAACATCATCAGTTGCCAGGCAGACTATATTGTTGAGCGGGTTGCTTACGCGGTAAGCAGGAAACTAACGTGCTCGATGGGAGGGGTAATCTACCTCAGGCTTTGCTCTTTACTACAGGCCTCACGTCCGCCAAGTGAGGCGACCGGGCTCGGGGCTGCGGCTCCCAACATCTCCCCCTTTTTTATTTTTTATGAATGTGCGCATCGTAGCCCTTCCTGGACTGGGTGCAGAGGCTTATGCCCTATGCGTAGGCCCACCGTAGGTCCTTGGCTTAGACCCTGGTCGGCCGTCCCATGGTCTGCCAAGGCCCTGAGGCCCTCGTCCTTTTTCTAGGGCCAGGCACAAACTGGACGGAACCTGGATGCACACAAGCTTGCACTCATTTCCTCTCCGTAAAGAAATCCCCTCGGAGAGAAATTTAGACCTGGGCAGCATCTAACAGTCCAGCGGCTTACGTGCAGGATGGGGTAGGGCCTGGCTTAGGTTGAGTCGCACCGGGGGAGTACGCTCTTACCCGTCATTGACTCTCCTACCCAGCTATGTCATAATTTTTTAGAGGAGGAGTGTGGGAAGCTCACCGTCCCTAGACTCGGTCGTAGGCTAGGCGAGCGAGCCATGCATATGCCTAAGGATCTTCTTGTCCATTTCGGGCTACCGCTATTTCTATTCATCTTGTTGGTTGGTCTGTGATGGATCTCCGGTAGGGCAGGTCTGATCTTCAGTCGAGGGCTTTGTCGCCCGTGTCAGTCTCTCCGGTACCCACAGTGGTTCTCGTCCCGATTCCTGCAGAAAAACACAAACCGCGCCTCGGTTCCAGCTGATTACCGGATCCGGGCCCATCCATTGTCCTGTCAGGACATCTTTCCACTTCACCCACCCTTTATGGTTGGGGGAAGGGTTGCAGTGCTCCACGGCTGGGGAGCAATTATCATTATTTAAATTTAAAAAATTGTGTGTGAATAGTGCCATGGATAATCGTGCCTTTGGGGCCAGGCCTTGGCCTACTCCCCCTTTTTGTTTTTGTAAAATTTCTTTGAGGCTTCTATGAGCCCTCTCAATGATTCCTTGACCTTGGGGATTGTATGGGATACCATGTTTTAATTGAACCTCCATCATTTTGCAGAACTCATTGAAGGCTTTGCCTATATAGGCTGGTCCATTATCAGTTTTTAATATTTTTGGTTTGCCCCATGCGGCCCAAGCTGCCAGGCAATGATTGATCACATTAGACACTTTTTTACCTGTTTCTGCTGTTGCAAATATGACGTGAGAACAGGTGTCTGTGGAAACATGAACATATTTAAGAGTCCCAAACTCCTGTATATGTGTGATGTCCATCTGCCAAACATCACCAGGGATCAAACCTCGAGGGTTTACTCCCATCGGTATGGCAGGTTTGTATGTGGCACAGGAGTTACATAGTCGCACGATATCTCGTGCATCTGCTCTGGAAACATGGAAATGGTTTGCTAGTGTCCTGGCATTGACATGAAACTTATCATGGAAGGCACGGGCTCGCTCGATTGGTGTTAGTAAGGTAAAAATCCATAACGGGCGAGTGGCAGTGTCAGCAGCCGCATTCCCCTGTGCCATAGGCCCTGGCAGGGATGTATGTGCTCTTATGTGGGTGGTGAAGACCTTATGGTGTCTGTTCTGAAGCAATGTCTGGATAGACAGGAACAGCCCAGCCACTGTGGAAGCGGATCTAATTAAACCGGCAGTCTCAAGCACTTGCATAGCGTTGACCACATACCTAGAATCGGAGACAATATTAATGGCTTCTGAGAACCGTTCAAGAATCATTTTAACGATCTGCAGTTCCACCACCTGAGGCTGATCTGGTTCAAATTGTATGGTAACCGGGGGCTTGCCTAGGATCACATAGGCGCCTATCCCCGTCTTGGAGCCATCTGTATATATTGTAGTTGCTGGGACTAATGGCTCAGAGGCAGTAACCTTTGGAAAAATTATAGGGTGCTGAGTGACAAATGACAAGATAGGGTCTTTAGGGTATTGATTGTTTATATCCCCATGGAAAACACATCTCAGAATGGCCCATGTATCTATGCAGGCAGCCAGGGTCTTGATCTGGCTGGCGGTATAGGGTACTCGGATGGCTTGTGGTCCTGAGCCAAAATGTTGGACAGCTCTATCATGCGCTTCAAGGGCCAATGAAGCGACTGCCTCCGGGTAATGCTCTAGGACTTTTGCAGGTGAGACCTTAGGGTGTATCCACAGTAGTGGTCCTTTCTGCCAAATCACCGCTGTAGGCTGTAGACTAGTCTGTAGCAAACAGACATCAAAGGGTCGCCCTGGTTCAATTCTGTGTAAGGTAGCCCCACCTAAGGCTTTTTCCACTCTCTGTAAGGCAGCTCTTGCCTCAGGAGTGAGCCTCCTGTGGGAGGCTATATCTGGGTCTCCCTTTAGAAGGTCGAACAGGGGTTTGAGATCTGAATTTGGTATATGTAAATATGGCCTAATCCAATTAATGTCTCCCAATAGCTTTTGCATGTCATTTAGGGTCCTAACGCCATCCATCCTAATGGTGACCTTCTGTATAAGTCTGGAGGCGACACTGAGGTCCACACCTGCTGACCCAGGGGTGGCCCTTGTTGAAGGCTGCCACCCTGAGCTGTCCTGTCTCTGGGGCGGGGACCCGCCTGTGAAGGGGGCCCCCTCTGGCCGTTTTTTGGCTCTGTAGCATCTCGTCCACAAATACGGTTGCCCTGAGCATCAAAGACCGACCTACACTCCTCAGCTTTGTGTGATCCCCTCTTGCATCGCCCACAAACATATGGTTCTTCATTCCTAGGGCGAGGCCTAGCATCTGTATTGTTTGGGCAATGACGTTTAATGTGTCCTGGCTCCCCGCAGGCAAAACACCCTTTAGCCTTACATTCCCCTTCTAACCCGCGAGGTCCCCTCTGCTGTACAGCCGCGGCCAGGAGAGCAGCCACTCCCGAGTTGGAGAGCGGCCCCCCTATCTCTCTGCATATCCTAATCCAGGCGTTGAGGTCCTTGTTCTTATGAGGAGCTATCGCTGCCTTGCACTCCTTTGTACATTGCTCGAAAATCAGCTGCCTTACCAGCGGTCGAGCCACTCCCGGATCAGAGAATATCTTATCGGCAGCATCTTGCATTCGGGCCACAAAGTCAACAAATGGCTCTGTGGTACCCTGAATTATTTTTGAAAGACACAAGGAGGCTGTTCCGGCACCACTTACTTGCTTCCAGGCGCGGAGCCCTATGGCATTGATTTGTTCATAGACAGCGCCGGGGAACTGAGTCTGATCATCAGCGTGCCGACCTTCTCCCATAAGCATTTCTTTGTTCCACCCCCGGTTTCCCCGATTGGCGTTTCTCTCAGCCTGCTCTGCAGATAACTCTGCGTACCAGGCTCGCCAATCCAGGTAACTGCCCGAGGGCAGACACGCCTTTGCCAGCTGAATCCAGTCCGCGGGGGTGAGGGGCCCAGAAGACAGATTCTCCAGCATGGCAATGGTGTAAGGCGCAGTCGGCCCAAAGGTTGTAACTGCATTTTTAAGTTCTCTAATCTGCTTTATCTCAAAAGGCTCCCATGCATTACGTCCCTGGCCCATAGCTACTTGTACAGGAAATATCCCGTAGGGGCCACTATCTATCCCAGGTGGATGTACCTCATGAGACAAGCGTCCCCCCTGCCAAAGCCGCCTGTAAAAATACCGACCCGCCGGCGGCGGAGCATAAGACGGCGGCCGTGATTGGGCGGAAAATGGGGGCCCGTGCATCACTTCCTGTTCTGGCGAAAGGGGAGGGAGCTCCCAGGCGGCCGCCTCGTGGCGAGGGATCGCCTCCCTCTCGCGCCGGGGAGCGCTCAGGAGCTCTCTACTCCTCCGCAGACCAGGTTGAGCAGAGCGCAATTCGCGGCGCAACGCTGGAAAAGAACCCTGTGACTCCTTATCGAGCGACTTAGGCTCCTGACAGCTGGTCTCTTTGGCCTCCTTGCCATTCAACTTTCCTTCGTCCTCGGAGTCAGACGACTCCGAGGCTAGAGCCCCGTCCTTCTCCTTAGCATCTTTGTTCCCCTTGACGGGCCCCTCTCGGGAGCTCCCTGACTGGGCCTGCTCAGATACCCTGCGTACTTTTGTAAGCTCTTGAGAGCTTTCTCCACAACCACCCTCGCTCTTAATGTTACTACCTAGCATGTTTCCCATTTTTTAATATGTTACTCACCGCGTGAGGCCCAAGGAATCCGCCACTTACGCGTGAGCCTGAGGGGAGTCTAAAAGCCCTGTAGGTGCGCGCCACCCAGAGCCCAGGCTTATCCCCAACTCACCTGTCTCGCAGCTCTGTACTGGAGCGTTGTCCACTTCCACGTCTCGGGGGTGATCAGTCCCCGGGCGGGCCCCCAAATGTCGATGTCCGCTCCCGGCCGGCAGGAAGGACACACGACAAAGCCTGGCAGTGGACAACCTTTTCTTTTATTTTCCTTCTCCGTACAGCCTGCCCTGGGATCGCTCCCAGCCGAAGCCTCCTCTGGTCCGCTCCCCGCGGCTCCTTCCGGGCTTCGCTCCGAAGCCTCTACCGGTCCGCTCTCCGCGGCTCCTTCTGGGCTTCTACTTCCGGGCTTCTTCTTCCCCCCCAGGGGTGGCACCAGTATATGTACAGATACAGTGTCCAATCATGTTAAAGTGAGCAAGGCAAGCTGATTGGCTAACATCATCAGTTGCCAGGCAGACTATATTGTTGAGCGGGTTGCTTACGCGGTAAGCAGGAAACTAACGTGCTCGATGGGAGGGGTAATCTACCTCAGGCTTTGCTCTTTACTACAGGCCTCACGTCCGCCAAGTGAGGCGACCGGGCTCGGGGCTGCGGCTCCCAACAGGTGAGGATGCATTTAGCTCAGAGGTAGAGTGCCCCTGGATTGGAGTCCCCAGTACAAAAGAAAAAGTAGGTGGACACCAGAAATGTGGCCAGGGGTCACTAGAGAGGGTGTGGACTGCCTCGCCAAGGAGTTGGTGGCCCTGTGAAAGCCACTGCAGGAGTGACAGTTACTGGGACTCATTGGGATGGGGGGGCTGCTGCACGGGAGGACGCCTCGCAGTGAGGTAAGAGTCTCTGCAGTCCTCCTGGCTCAGGGCAGCCCAGACCTCAGGGAGGACACCACACAGGGAAGGTGAAGGTGAGGCGTCAAAGGACTCAGCTGGTGAGAACCATGATATGTCAGTGACTGGCTGGGAAGAGGGAAGAGAAGAGGGCTGAGGCTGTGAGCCTGAGTGATGGTGGCGGGATGCCGGGATGTCTGTCGGGAAACCAGCTGGGTGTCCGAAGTGGAAAGGAGCTGGCATGGCCTCACTAGACTGGCGCGGCTTCTGTATTTCAGTTTAGCTCTGCTGCATGGTGCAGGCTGGTGGGCCTCTTGGAGACTGTTCCTGTCTGTGGGAGGGAACGCACTGCCCCCAGCTCCTATGGGGCTTGGTGCTGGGCTGCAGGTCTGTGTGGCAGCCTCTCATTTTAGATGTGCACCTTCGGGAACCCTGGGCAGCTTCTCTGTGTGGAAAAGCTGAGCAGAGAGGACAGGATGCAGGCAGCCAGAGGCTTTGGCCTCATCTCCGAGACAAATCAAGACAGAATCTCGGGAAGGTGGGAGAGAGAGAGGACAGAGCCTTGTGCTTAAGGGCAGTGGAGGAAAGCGTCACTAAAGGAGCACACACAGAGTAGGACAGCCAGAGAGCCTTTGGGCCTTCCGTCATCCCTTTGCCAGCATCTCCCAAGTGTTTCTCAGCCAGAATGAGCTCTAGGTGGGCGGCGAACAGCACACTGTTACTTCCCCTACATGGCAGAGAGCCTGAGCTAGCTGGTCAGACAGAATCCTATTCACAGCTGTGGGGGCTTCGCTAAGGAGAAGCCTGGCGTCCCTGGGCATGCTTTGGCCCCCTGGGTGCTACTGGTTGCCCTGGGCAGGAAGTATCCTGCTAGGATCCAGGGCAGGGTGTGGGAAGCAGATTAAGATAGGATAAAAACTAGGAGTTCGGAGGCTTCGGAAGTCTTCAGCTGGAGATGAGGAGGTAGGGAAGGGGCTAACTCAAGGTCACTTGGTTGAGCGAGCTATCTGCCTCAGGAGCTGGGTGACTGGGGTCAGTACTCACCTCTTCCTGGCTGGGCACAATGGCACACTCCTGCAATCCCAGCACTCTTGGGAGGCTGAGGCAGGAGGATCACAAGTTCAGATCAGCCTGGGCAGTTTAAGAGACTTAGTGAGACACTGTCTCAAATTAAATAAATTTAAAAAACATCTGGGAGGTAGCACAGTGTGACGGCTCAGAGTTCAGCCCCCAGTACCTCAAAAGCAAATAAATGAGTGAACAAACAAAACCCCTCTCTCCTTGACATCAGCAGCAAGAAAGGGGGGGGGGGGTCCAGGGGGAGAAAGTTTGCACTTCAGAGACCTGATAATAAGGGATATAAACTTCCCAGGGAAGGGCAGGGGATTTAGGTCAGTGGCATAAGTGCCTGCCTGGCAAGCTCAAAGTTGTGAGTTCGATTCCCCGGTACAAAGAAAACCACAAAAATGAAAACTTTCCAGTGAAGTGCACGAGGAGCGGGGCAGTGGGGCTGCAGGTGAGGAGTGTGACCTGATCTCTGGGAGGGGACTCCAGTGCTGGGGTTTTCATCTCTGTCCTCCAGTAAAGCCCCTGCTGTGTGACAGACATGGCCCAGTGGTGGACAAAGAAAAGGAGCCTGAGTGATTGTGCTAGGACTCGGCTGTGTCGCCTTCCCAAGCTGCCCATCCACGTGAAATAGTACTGAAAGCCACCTTGGCACTTTTTGGAGTGGTGGAGGGCTGTGGATGGGAAGATGCATTGCATGCTAAGCTTAAGCAGCTGAATCTGAGTCTGCACCAGCTGTCCCTCACTGTCTCTTTTCTGTGCTTTTCTCTCCCTTGGAGCAGAGGGGAATGGAGGAAGCAGCAGGTTTAAGGCCTGGCAGGATGAGAAGTAGAAGGGCCTGAGGCTGCCAGGGAGCCAAATTCCCTATGGGACCTGGTCAGATGTTCAGTGCCACCAATAGGCTGGGACAACCAAAGAGGCTCTAGAGAATAAGAAAGCAAAGCAGTATGGGAAGCAGGAGTGTCCACCGGGCAGTGCTTACAGAGCACAGGATTTGTGCTTGACCCTGCTGAGGCCCTTGGGAATAGCTGCTGTTACTTGAACAGTGCTCTCCTGCGGGAAGCAGACGGCAAATAAGTACACAAATACATCAGCAAGACAGAGCGGACGGTGGTAAGAAACGGGGTCACCCAGGAAGACTTCCAGAAGGAGAGTGAAGCAGAAAACACCTGGGGGGTCAGGGGTGGGAGCCAGAACAGGCCTGCTAGGGCTGGGCTCTGAGGATGAGGGGTCCGTCCTTGCAGGTGCTCGCTGCCTATCTGGACTACATGGAGGAGCTGGGGCTGCTGCTCGGTGGACAGCCAGCATCCACCCGGGAACAGATGTGGCAGGTGCTGGAACTGGAGACGCAGCTGGCCAACATCACGGTGCCCCAGGACCAACGGCGGGATGAAGAGAAGATCTATCACAAGATGAGCATCTCAGAGCTGCAGGTGGGGCAGGCCAGGACCCACCAGTTTTCCTTCTGCCGTCTTTCCGAGGCAGCTGGTCAGGACTTTTCCCTGCGTTTCTGAGTTTCCCAGCTACATGACTGCTATGTTGGAAAGCAAAATGGTGATCATGTGAGGCCTCCTCTCACAGGACCATCCTTTGGTGGCTTGTTGCCTGTGGATGCAGGGAAAGATTGTTAAAATTGTATCAAACTTGGCCAGAGGTGGTGCGGAGCTGGAATACTAGCACTGGGAGTTTGAGGCCAGCTTGGGCTACATAGTGAAACCCCCGTCTCAATGAAACAAAACAATCCAAAAGGCTATGGGGATGTCTCCTGGAGACTCCTATGCCTGAGGTCGCCCCTTTTGGTGGTGAGTTATGGAGAGGTAAGGGAAGGGGTGGTCTGGAGGAGAGGCCAGGTATGTGGGCAGTGCTAGGCAAGGGGTACGTTATCAACCATTATGAAAATACTTGGCCATCTGCTTCGGCTGAGTGTCACAATTGGTGGTTCTCCCTTATAGTAGGTGCTTGGGCTCCAAGATCAAGGGGCCTGCAGGCCTGGGAAAGGGTCACCAAGCAGCTAGTAGCTGTTGCCATGGCAATGGGAAGGACTCCCAAGCTAGAGCATATCCATGGGGGAGGGGTGTACTGGAAGCCAAGCTGGCAGATGAGGAAGCCTGAGGTCTCATTTGCTTGCAGGCTCTGGCGCCCTCCGTGGACTGGCTTGAGTTCCTGTCCTTCCTGCTGGCACCCTTGGAGTTGAGTGACTCTGAGCCCGTGGTGGTGTATGGCACAGATTATTTGCAGCAGGTGTCGGACCTTATCAACCGCACAGAACCAAGGTGAGGGGGACCCTGAGATGTTGGGGGAAGGAAGACTTAAGACTCCGAGGTGGTCTCTGGCAGGGACTGGCACAGTGGACTGGCATAGCTAGACAGAAGGTCTGGACCTCCCAAACCTCAAATGAGGCTGCCTGGGGGAGAATTTCTGGGTGTCCTTTGTGGTTTCCGATTCTACACCTTGCTCAAAGCTGATCTCTGCGGACGGAGGGAGGGGGCTCCAGGACAGCTTCCCCCGAGCCTCCTAGGATTCCTGCCAGCCCGTTCCTGGGGACAGCTGTGGAGGAAAGGAAGAAAACACCCCACCTGCCTGTACCTTATTTCCTGGTGTGAATGCCAGTGTTCTGAACAATTACCTGATCTGGAACCTGGTGCAGAAGACAACTGCAAGCCTGGACCGGCGCTTTGAGTCTGCACAAGAGAAGCTGCTGGAGACCCTGTACGGCACAAAGAAGGTGGGCTCCCTGGCCCTGCTCCACCTTCCGAGCCACCCTGGCTGATGCCACCTGTCTCGGGGTGCGCAGGTGTGGGTGCACCCACAGAATCAGCAGTACCTCTGGGTTTTAGCCTGTGGGGCCTGAGGCCTGTGCCCCAGGCTCTCTGTTCCCTGAGTCCTGGTCTGTAAAGCAGGAATAACTTGCAGGGTTGGCCTGAGGATCCTCTGAGTTAGCATAAGTGAGGCCCCTACCCCGTGCGGGGGCACCAAGCTTGGATGAGGATAAAGGGTTCCATGTGTGCTGCTTTCACAACAAGATGCCCATTCAGTGGGAAGGACAAAGGTGGGGACCGCATGCTGTATCTGGGGAATGTGGGGGCGGGGGGATGGCATCAGGACAGGTTTCTTTAGGAAGGCACATATGAAGAATGGGTTCTCCTGGCGGCAGAGAGAAGGGAAGGCCCACCAGAAGGAAGAGTACACTGCGCCCCAGAGTCCGGAAGAGGGCATGGTGGGTTTGCTTCTGTGTGGGTAGGAGCTTGGGAACAGGGCGAGAGGGGGTGAGTTTGGTGAAGTGGGCATAGGGCCTCCAGGAAGGCACCTGGCTCTGTGTTTCACAGAGGGGAACAGGAGTATGACTACAAGAGATTAGGGACAGAGTCAGGTTATGTATGAAGTGATCTTTTCGGAGGGAAACAGCAAGGGAAGGGATTGGGAATGGAGTCAGAGTAGTCGGAGTAGTCAGGAGGCACCTGCAGTCTTCAGCAGGAGATGATAGATGATTACGCAGCTAGAAAGAAGAGAGAAAAGGCGTCATTTACAGAAACATGGGTGGGATTGGAGATTGGCATGCTGGGTGAAATAAGCCCACTCAGGAAGACAAGTGTGATATGTTTTCTCTCATGTGTGAAACTTAGAAGAAAAATAAAGAGACCACCTGAAAGTAGAAGGGAGGTGATTAGAGAAGAAGGGGGAGGTGTGGGAGGAGAGGGTGGAGGAGGGTAAGGGGGCTGCACTGTTTCTGAGGTGTACATGGGTATGTTACCTACATACGTGAAAACTCAGCACAAGCAAAGTGCACTAACGAAAAGAGAGATGACTGTGGCAGGGGGAGGACGCGGTGATGGGTAGACAGCGTGATAAAGGAGTCACTGAGCGATAGGGATTCCATGGAAGGTGAGGGTTGGGGAGGTGGAGAAAGATGGCACCTAGGTTTCTGTCCTGGGGAACCAACTGGTTATGAGCCTGAGTTGTCAAACTGGGCAGTGAAACTTGTGGAAACCTGAGAAGAGGCCAGTGCTGAAGGTAGAATGGGGCGCTGCTGGGGTTGGGCAGTTGGATATCACTTCGTCTTCCCTGGAGTCCGGGGAAGAGCTGGCACCCAGACCCAGGCCCCTGCTGCCAGAGCTCAGCAGACCCCCGACCTGAGCTGTCTCTAGGGCCGGGCTCTCTGTCCCTTCCTAGTCCTGCACGCCGCGGTGGCAGACCTGTATCTCCAACACAGACGACGCCTTGGGCTTCGCTCTGGGGTCCCTCTTTGTGAAAGCCACATTTGACCGACAAAGCAAGGAAATAGTGAGTCTTGGGCTTCCGCCAACGGTCACTGTTCTGTTCATATAGGAAAACACTGAAAGGAAACTCCTAACTGAATGGGCTGTTGCTGTTGCTTTGGGCAGTGGGATTATGAGGTCTTTTCGTTCTTTGAAGTATATAATGTTTTTAGAAAGTTTTTATAATGAGTTTATTATCTATATAATTAGGGAGAATAATATTTTTATCTTCTTCTTCTTTTTTTTTTTTTTTTTTTATCTTTTTCCTTTTTATCAGTACCGGGGATTGAACTCACGACTGCCTGCTTGCAAGACAAGCACTTATGCCACTGAGCTAAATCCCCAGCCCCGAGAATAATATTTTATTAGGAGATGATAACGGCTGAGCTTACAGTCTTACCCACCTGACATCCTCCCACCGTGCGTGCGGTGCTGGAGGTAGAGCTCAGGGGCTCAGCAATGCCGAGCAAGCACCATGCCGCTGAGCTACATCCTCAGCTCTTTTTAGTTTTTGTTTTGAGACAAAGTCTGGCTAAGTTGTACAGTCTGGCCTGGAACTTGCCAGAGATAGATAATGAGAAATAAATAATAGCCAGGCGTGGTGTTGCGTACTTGGAGGCTGAGGCAGGAGGATCACAAGTTGGAGACTAGCCTAGAGGGTCCAGGGATATGGCTCAGCGGTACAGCGCCTACCTAGCAAGCACAAGGTCCTGAGTTCCATTCCTGGCTGTCCCCTAGGATGGAAAATCTCACAATGAAACCAACTTAGGCTACATAGTGAGTTAAAAGCCAGAGTGAACTACATAGAGAGAACATGTCTTGAAAAAAAAGATTTAGTGAAAAAAAGTTGTAAAAAGGGGTTTAAGTGTAGTGCTTGGCTAATTTGCAAGGTCCTAGGTTTAATCTCTACCATGGCACCAAGTATGTCACACAAAATAATTCTGTATTTTAAATGCATATACCTGGCCAGGAGAACACTCTAGAAGTAGATAATTAAAATGTTAAGAGAAGCTGGGCATGATGATACATGCCTGTAATCCAAGAATTTGGGAGGCTAAGGCACAAGATTGTGAATACCAGGTCACTTGGACTACGTAGCAAGACCTGTCTCACTTAAAAAAAATTACCCCAGTGATTGCATTATAAACTGTTTTCTTTTCAACTCTTTGTTTCAATTTTCCAAATTTTCTATTAATACTCATAGTCAGATAAAATTCATTGTATTGTTAAATTATAATATTAATTTTATTATAATATAAATTATAATATATAATAATTACTGGCAATTATAAAATGCTTACTAATTAGAAAAAAAGCCTCCCAAAATATCAATACCTTCACAAACGCTGCATTCTTTTCTTCCTCCTTATAATCCTCCTCCTTCTTTCCTTCCTCATTGCGGTACTGGGGATCGTTGAACCCAGGACCCTTGCACTAAGTTACATCCTCAGTCTCACCTTTTTAAATTTTATTTTTCTAAGTTGCTAAGTTCTCTGGGCTGATCTCAAGATCCTCTTGCCTCAGCCTCCTGGAGTGCTGGGATTCCAGGCATGTGCCACTGTGCTTGGCTTACTTCCCTTGCCCCCGCATTCAGCCTTATTTTATGAGTCAGGATATTCCCAGGGCTCCCCTGGAGGAACAGTGGTGGGCGCTGAGGTGCACAGGGAAGTGGGCACAGAGTACAAGAAGTGCAGGAGCAGGCTGACACCGGGTCTCTCTCCCCCAGGCAGAGGGGATGATCAGCGAGATCCGCTCTGCTTTTGAAGAGGCCCTGGACATGCTGGCTTGGATGGATGAGAAAACCCGGCAGGCGGCCAAGGAGAAAGTAAGCTGTGGCTGTGGCTGGAGCGGCATCTGGAGGTGGGGATGGAGAACTGCGTTTTGCTGGGAGCTGGGAAGGGAAGCCTTAACCTGGTGTCTCCAGGCAGATGCCATCTACGATATGATTGGCTTCCCTGACTTCATCCTAGAGCCTAAGGAGCTGGATGACGTGTATGACGGGGTGAGTCCGACCTCAGTCCTGTGGCGGGCTGCTCTGAGGCCTCAGCGCTCGGGGCTCACACACTGGGAGGGAAGGAGATGCTGGTTGCACCTCTTGGAGGTGGGGACGTGCCACCAGCATCGCTGAGAGCTGGTTGTGTGCCTGGCTGCTGCCAGAAGGCATTAAAATACAGTGTTAATGAGCAAACAGGCTCAGAGCCTGGTTTATGGCCCGCTTCTACCCCTAACTGTGTAACCTTGCAAAGACTGCTCTTGGCCTTGGTTTCTCTGTCTACAAAATTAATCAGAAAATAAAAGCAAACAGTGCCTCTTCCTCCTCCTCCTCTTCCTGTTACTTACCTCATGAGGTCATTGCAAGGACAAAAGAAGGCAGTATGTTTTAAAAATATAATATGTGCAGAATATGTACTGTTTAGATATTGGCAATGATTTACTATTTTATTCCCATTTTACAGCTGAAAACACTGAGGCTTGGAGAGGTTGCTAAGTAGTTGTCAGGCTGCCTCTGTTACCTTCTCCAACATATTTTCATTTGCTTTTTTATCTCCCAACATCCCCCCAGTATGAAGTCTCTGAAGATTCTTTCTTCCAAAACATGTTGAATTTGTTCAACTTCTCTGCCAAGGTGATGGCTGACCAGCTCCGCAAGCCTCCCAGCCGAGACCAGTGAGAGTGGGCAGCCCAGATCCTGGGGGCAGCAGGGAGGTGGGCGAAGGTCTGCAGAGGTGGGTGGTCCAAGGCTCTTGCAGGAAATAGGGCAGGGCCTCTGGGCCTAGCAGGGCACTAGGAGAGTCGGGAGCCTCAGTCTCTCCTTCTTCCTTCCCTAGGTGGAGCATGACCCCCCAGACGGTGAACGCCTACTACCTTCCAACCAAAAATGAAATTGTCTTTCCTGCTGGAATCCTGCAGGCCCCCTTCTATGCCCGCAACCACCCTAAGTGTGTCTGAGGCAGGCGGGACCGGGTGCTGGGGCCTGGGCCAGAGGGTGACCCGGGAGTGGAGCCAGAGGTGGGGTTCAGAAGCCCCCTTTCTGTGTCACTCAGCATCTCTCCCTTCGTAGGGCCCTGAACTTTGGTGGCATTGGTGTGGTCATGGGCCATGAGCTGACACATGCTTTTGATGACCAAGGTAGGGGTCCAGGAAACTGTCCTCTCCAGCCTAGAGTTCTGTGTCTCTTGCAAAGGCGTGAGATACTGGGGTTGGACCCTAGGGGCTCTAGAGTCTGTGAGCCAGCACTGATGGGGACACTCCCGCCTCCCAGGGGTGTGAGCTGTGGTCTCTTGGGGTGCAAAAATGAGTTTTCCTTAGGGCGTGAGTATGACAAGGAAGGGAACTTGAGGCCCTGGTGGCAGAATGAGTCACTGGCCGCCTTCCGGAACCACACGGCCTGCATGGAGGAGCAGTACAGTCAGTACCAAGTCAACGGGGAGCGGCTCAATGGCCTCCAGACCCTGGGGGAGAACATTGCTGACAACGGAGGGCTGAAGGCTGCCTACAACGTGAGTGTCCCGGCAGCCCAGGGCCAAGGACTGGGGGAGGACGGGCCTGGGCACTTGTCACCCCTCTTCTCCCAGGCTTACACAGCGTGGCTGAGGAAGCATGGAGAGGAGCAGCGGCTGCCAGCCGTGGGGCTCACCAACCACCAGCTCTTCTTCGTGGGATTTGCCCAGGTATTTGCCCCAGGGATGCCCTTCTCTCCACTCCCTCCAGGATGGTGTGAGTAGGAGTTGGAGGCATCCGGTGAAGGGGCCAGGAAATGGGGCCAAAGTTTGGGTATGGGAAATGGGATGCAAAGGTCCAGAACCCACAAAAGCAGGCTGAGGAAGAAGAGGTTTTCGGGAGGATTTTGCAGACCCCAAAGGGTAGGGTTGCCCTGCTTGGGGCCGAAAGAGGTGACCCTGTCCTTGTTGCTGCGGGGTAGAGCTGGAGGAGGACACTGAAGTGTGGCCTGTTTGGCACAGCCAGGAGAGGAGTCAGTGGCAGGGCAGGGACTCAGGCAGGATGTCCCCCTAAGTGTTTTGCCTCACAGCAGGCAGCCAGGAGGGGCCCTGCTTTTGCTGCCTGTGTTGAAGCTTGGGGACAGAGGGCTCCTGCGATCCCTTGGAGCTGAGTGCTCCACATGAGACACCTTGTGTCCCCACATGTGTCCTGGCCCGCAGGTGTGGTGCTCGGTCCGCACACCAGAGAGCTCTCACGAGGGGCTGGTGACCGACCCCCACAGCCCTGCCCGCTTCCGCGTGCTGGGCACACTCTCCAACTCCCGAGACTTTCTGCGGCACTTCGGCTGCCCCGCTGGCTCCCCCATGAACTCAGGGCAGTTGTGTGAGGTGTGGTAGACTTCGGGGGTGTGGGAAGGGGATAGCCGGCCATCACCAGGGCCTGAGCCCTTGGTTTAGAAGAAAGCAAACAGGAGCTGGGCTGGGTCCGGTGCCTCCCTACTGCAGGTGACGTGAGTCCAGTCTCCTCTGCACTGCCACATTGTGCCTCCGCTTTGGGGGTGCCCCTGCCTCCTGCAGAGCCCCCGCCGTTCACTGTGACATCCTTAAGTGTCACCCAGCCTGGAGGAGCTCTGGGTGGGGGACTACTTCTCAATGGAAGGAGTACACCTCTTGTGGCCCTGACTTAGTGAGCTCAAGGCTGTGGGGCCTGCTGTGCCTCCCGGCTCCTCCCAGACTCGGCGCCCACTTGGGAGTGGGCTCAGCTCCCATCAGCCCCGTGCCCCCTGTGCTGCTGCCACGCACTGCTGCTCACCCTCATGGATGACCCACTCTGCTCGGCAGTCAGTGGAAGCCAGAGGGTCTTCCACCTTTCCTGCTGGCCCCGTCCCTGGGCTGAGAAGGAAAGTGGGTATGTGTAGGGGATGCTGGTCCCTATCTTTCAGGGCATGGTCTCAGGGGTGACTGAGTCTCCCTGGACCAAGCAGATAGAGCAGGGAGAGAGAAGGACAGAGTTTATTTTTGCAGGGAAGAGAGTGGGGAGGGTGTGATCTTGTAGGACCCTATGCCAATAAATAGACCTGCATCAGTCAGCCTGTCTCTTCCTTCAGTCGTTTTTATTTATTCATTTTCCCACACCAAGAATATTTATTAAGTAACCACTCTGTGCCAGGCATTTGTCTACAGACACTCATTCACTCACTCCCCCAGAGACGGGGGACTGAGGTTGGAACCCCAGAGCAGGCACAGAGAGCAAGGCAGGGTGGAGGACTAGAACGCAGCTGCTAGCCGCCGAGTCTGGCTAACAGCTAGGGCTGGGCAGTGAGGAGGATGGGTGGCCCTTACCCTGCTGGGGAGGGAAGCCTTAACCACAGGAACCCCAGCCTCTATTTGTGGCTGAAAAGGCAAGTAGTTCCTTGAGGCCTCAAAGGCTCAGAGCTCCTGAAAGCCAGGGATTCCACCCACACAGTTATCAAGGCCCCCACACTGCCAGGCAGACTGCAAACAGGCCCTCCACCCTTCAGAGTGAAGGGGAAAAAAGAACCATTTGTCCAATACCTCTTGTGTTCTAGGCACCTATGCTGGGGCTTATTTCCTTATTCATTCACCCATTTATTAACTCACACATTCATAATTTTTTTAAAACGCTATTGGTCACCAACCATGTGTCAGGCACTAGGGATACAAAGATGAATAAGATGATGCCTTCCCTTCTTCGGTGACGGTTCTTCTGTTTCATTTTTATCTTCATGAGTTCACCTGATTCTCATAGCAGCTGTATTCAGCTTTCCCATTGCTGAGACGGATGTTTGACACCCACAGCTTAAAGGAGGAGAGGCTATGGTTTCAGAAGAGGCAGTCTGTGCTGGGTTGGCTCCAAGGCAGAGACATCATGGCAGAGGGTGTGGCAGAGCAGAGATGCTTAGTTCACATCATCTGGGGAGCAGAACAGGAGAACCACATCAGGAAGGAAGAGGGCAGGGCACCATATACAGTTCCCAAGATTGAGCCTCCGTGGCCCACCCAGACACAGCTAGGACCTGCTAGACATCTCTTAGTCCAGTGAAGCTGATGTATCCCGATGGACAAGCAGGGTACTTTTGTCTCCATCAAACAGATCCAACCCTAATCACGTCATTGCTGTCAAACAGGTCTGGATTGGAACTGAGGTTCTGATGAATTGTGGAGCTTGGGCCTGTTCCATATTGAGATTCAGTTTCTTCATCTGTAAGACGGGCACTATCTGAGTCGCTTCCTTGTTGTTGGGACAAAAATAAACCTGCAGATTAAATGAACAGAAGTGTATTGTGGTTCACAGTTACAGTCTGCAGTCAGTTGGCTCCCAGGCAGCAATAGTGTGACAGGGAAGTACTGAGGAAGAGTTGCTTACATCCAGGCCTGATGGCAGCCAAGGAGCAGAGAGAGGCAGGGCCGGGCCCAATGAGCTACCTCTTCCAGCCAGAACCTACCTTCTGACAAGTGAACCAGCTGTACCTGTACAGTGGTTCAGGCTCCTTCCAAAAGCCCTGCCTACCAGTGTATGAGGCTTTTTTTGTTGTTTTGGTACTGGGGATCGAACTCACAACCTGGTGCTTGCCAGGCAGGCGCTTACACTGCTGAGCTAAATCCCTGGCCCTTGTTTTGTTTTTTGAGACAGGGTCTTGCTCTGCAGTCCAGGCTGGCTTTGAGCTCACTTTGTAGCCTAGGCTGGTCTTGAACTTGCCACGATCCTCCTGCCTCTGCCTCCTCCTGAGTGCTGGTATTACAGGCGTGTGCTACCATGCCCAGCTTAGTATGAGGTTTTCGAGGGTCATTAGTTTCCTTTTTTCTTTCTTTCTTCTTTTTTTGGAAGGACATTCTTGATCTAAGCCATAAGCAGCAAAATGGCAGTGTCCAATCTCACTTCTCACTAAAACTCAGTGCTCCCCAAAGTGCAAATGGGAGTGTTTGTCTTGTTCAAAGGGGGAAACTTGAGTTTGACTGTGATTGCTGCGGAGTCCTTGGCCTCTTGGTGATGTCCCTAATGTGTTCCAGTCTCTACCCTGCCTAGCTGTGAGCTGTCCTCATAAAGAGCTGTAAATGGGGCCATGGCATGTTATATGGAAGCCCTGGTGGCTCACCAAGTAGAAGAAATAGCTGCACTTGGGGCTGGGGATTTAGCTCAGCAGCATAAGTGCCTGCCTTGTAAGCATGCAGTTGTGAGTTCAATCCCTGGTACCGATTAAAAAAAAAAAAAAGAGCACTCAAAAGGAATGATGCAGCCATTTGTGGTGGTGCCTGCCATAATCCCAGCACTTGGGAGGCCGAGGCAGGAGGATCACTGTGAGTTTGAGGTCAGCCTGGGCTACATAATGAGTTGAAGATCAGTCAGATAGTGAGACCCTTTAAAAAAAAAATGAATTCATGGGAGTAGCAAATTCCAGAATCCATAGATATTAAATGATTTGTGGAGTTTGGGTCTGGGACAGTGCATGAGATTTAGAATGCTAGAGAGATAATGATTGAAGACAGTGTTGGCAGGAGAGAGGTTCACCCTTCCTGATGCCTGATTTCAGAGGGCAGCTTAGGATCTTGGCCAGCTGATCAGTATGGTCTTAAAACTTCACATTTGCAACAAGGCCAAAGTGTCAAGTAAGAATATTAATTGCTGGGTGTTGGGCTGGGGATATAGCTCAGGGGGCCAGGGATGTAACTCAGCAGCATAAGCACCTGCCTGGCAAGCACAAGGTCCTGAGTTTGATTTCTGATACTACTACTAATAATAATAGTAACTGCCAGCTTTCATCTATTGAGTCCCTGTTTTTTTGCTTAAACCTCTGTTAAGCACTTTAAAGATACTCTCTCATTAAATCTCCACAGCAATTTATAAGGCGATTTTACCATTGTCTCTATTTTACGAATGGGGAAACTAAGAAATACAATGCTCTGTGTCAGACAAATCAAATTGCATTTAGATTTTCAGCTTGGGTGCTCTTAATTACCATCAGTTTGTCGTCCTCGACAGCAGGATGAAAGTTTAGATCTAACTCAGGCTTCGGCCACTTCTGACCACATTCATCATATTTCTGAATGGGACCGTCACCGACAGGAGGTGCATTTCCATGCTTTCCTGGGCAGGGAATGGTGACAGCCAGGCAGCTGCGGGAAGCCTGGATGCAGCTGAGCTGAAGCAAGGCCAGGCCGCTGTTTGCTGAGAACTCTGCAGGTGCTTGGTTGCAGAGGCAAGGTGAGGGGAACATTGTGATGGATGTCACCTCTACCTCACAGCCCGTCTGGCTATTGAGATGCCTCTGTTATGTGTTCCGCTGTGCTGAGGAAGAGGGAGAAATAAGGGACTGTGCTTCAACACAAATACATGGCAGCAGTCATTGCAAAAGCACTGGGCCCCTAGGAGGTCTAATTCTGGTCTTGAAGAAGCAATATGCCAAGAAACATGGTTTTACCTTTATGCCAGGCTGGAAGAGTCCCTCATAAAGGCAGTTCCAATGGGCTATCACAGTTCACAAATAGGGAATCCTAATGATTTTCCAATTCCCAGCCCTGAGTGCCAAAAAAGTCCCTTAAGGGTCACTGTTGAACAGAAGATGACTGAAGAGGAATACAAAGCCATTCATTCATTCATTCATTCATTCATTCATTCATCTGCTACCTCCTTTATGAAGGCCTACAAGCCAGGTATTAGGCTGGGTACTAGGCTCAGAAAGATAAGACTTCCTTGTCCTCCAGGAGCTCAGAGTACAAAGAGGGAGAGGTATGAGTATACAGGGAAGAAACAAACCACCTGAACGGTAGGGTAGCGTAAGGATCTGAGACAGGTGACACAGCTGGAGTTCAGGGGATAGGAGGATTCACTAGCTGACAGTGGTAAAGAGCATGCCTCGCAGAAGGAATAGCAATGTGGAAAGGTAATCAGCAAGAAGGGCCAGGCCACGTTTAGAAACACAAAGATGACCAGACAAGGGTAGATGAGGGATATCCTGGGGGATGAGAGTTTTAGAGAACAGCAGATAGTAACAGTAGGCCGAAAGAGGGGACTCGTAAGATTTGCTGTCCGTTCTGGGCAGTACCTGTGACGGCCACACAGCAATCTGGCTGTTTGAAGACCACCATGCAAACAGCAGCAGGCCAGTGGCAGCTGTGCAGTGCTGTGTGCAGCCAGGTGGACATTCAAGTTTGTGAGCAATGGCTTGGAGTTGAATGGTTATCAGATGAGTAGAGGTGTAAGACATATGGTTGTAGGGGCTGAGGATTTAGCTCAGCAGCGCAGGTGCTTGCCTGGAAAGTGTCAGGTCGTGAGTTCAATCCCTGGTACCAAATTTTTAAAAAAAGGTACCAAAGTAGAGGGTGGAGATGCACTGTTCTATATCTCACACCAAGTCTGGGGGAGCAGCACAGTAGGCTTACGGGTACAGTTTGCAGCAAGGACAGAAGAAAGGGCAAGTAATGTGTGACACCTGATTGGAGAATAGTTGGACCACAAAATTGGGAGTTTGGCCAAATGGCAGGAAGGTATATTCCTGGGACAGTGTCTGAAATGAAGCTTGAAGGCAGGACATCGATATGATCAAGGATTCTTGGAAATAACTGCCATTCATTTGGATTTGACAAGAGGCTTGGAAGCTTGAATGCATGGTGGCCCACAGAAGGGGTTGTGGGAGGTGTTTTCAGCCTGGAAGATACAAGGTATCTGGCCAATAAGATAACAACTTCCTGCTTTCTAATTGCAGCCATCTAGTGAGGGCACTCTATACATTGTGTCATTTTGTTTTCAAAATAACAGAGGCATAGTTTATTCCTCACATTTTACTTAGCAGAAGCCAGGCTGAGAGAGGTTAGGGGAGCTTACATGGGTGTCACAGCTGGTAAATGACAGAATTTGATTTCAAACACCAGATGTGTCTGTCTTTAAAGATGCATTCTTCTATCTTCCCACTTTTTATTTTGGAAAACTTAAAAACAAGCACCATGTTGAAAAACAGGACAACTCTTTCTGCTAGTTAACAATATCCATCTCCTCTCCAAGGTACTTTGTTGTTTTTTGAAACAGGGGTATTGATTTGTAGTTCAGGTTGGTCTCATACTTGCAGTGATCCTCTTGCCTCAGCCTCCTGAGTGATGGGATTACAGGAGTGCACCACCACTACCACCACCACGAGCTTCCAAGGTGCTGATTGGGATGTGACTGCTGTATAGCATAAAGTCTGGGATCTGATGGAAATCAGAGATTCCGGAGAAATCTCTATAGATGGCTAGAGAAAGCATTCTGAAGAGAGAAATGGAATAATGCCTATGAACTGTCCAGCTTCCGTCCACAGGCCCGGGCTGGACCAGTCATTGCCAAGAGAAATGCAGGGCTGTAGCTAGAGTCCAAGCATTGAATGGAAAAGTTTTTAAGAATGGGCTTCAAACTCTACATCTACTTTCATACGAACACTTAGCCAACATTCAGTGCTAAGTATGCTGCGCTAGTTTAAAAAGAAAAAAAAAAAAAAAAAAAAAACCATTTTCTGCATTCTTCAATGTGTCTGAACTCATGACTTCAGGTGAAATGGTGAGTGTTTCCACCAGGAAAAGGGAAAAATAATTGCCTCCTTTCTTTTCACCTTCTAGACACACATCCACACCCATCCACCCACAGCCCAAGCTGAAGACGACACCTTGAAGGTTTGCCTGAAACAGTTAAAGGCATGGAAGGCCGAAATCTGAGGTTCAAATCTCGATTCTAGGGCACACGACAGGCGCTGGGTTCAAACTCCACTCCCATGTGGCCTTGACATAAAGCCTTTCAGTTCCATCCCTTCTAAATCGTAATGGGAAAAAATGCCAAAAGGCAAGGGGCTTGGCATAGTGTCTTTAGCTTCAAAGTTTGGCACTGGACATGGCATTTTATTTGTCCACTTCTACTCCCCCTGGCTCTTAGAAAGAACCCTTACCCTATAGCAACAGGGAACTCTTCGGCTAGGGGAAAAGTGCAAAACAGATCACACAGGCTTCACACAGTCCCCATCCAAGCGTTCTGGATTTGAAGAATCTTGTTTGTCAACCCAGCGTGTTGGCGCACACCTGTAATCCCAACACTAGGGAGGCTGAGGCAAGAGGATTGCTCCGAGAAGTACGAAGCCAGCATGGGCTACACAGTGAGTTCAAGGCCAGCGAGACTGGGTCTTAAAAAAAAAAAGTCCCGTTTCTCCCATCACACTCAGCCAACTAGGGTGCCTCCGTCTGTTCTATTCGTACTGGGGTAGGAAACCTACCGAGTAGTAGCCGGCTGACAGCCCTCCATCAACTACAGCAGCCCAAATCCCCACGCCGCACGTCCAAGTGGCGCCCCGCGGGGCGGATCCTGTGGCGCACGGAAGGCTGGGAATCGTAGTTCTTGGAAGGCACTCGGGGGCCCGGTAGAAGGGCGGGGCTCTCAACGCTTCCGGTAGTGGGCGGGGCGCCTTCGGCGACTCGCGCGAGGCTCTCTGGGAAGAAGGGGCGGTGCGAGCAGGTGCGCGCGCAGCGGCTCGGCGGCGGTGGCGGAGATGGAGGAGGGTGGCCGGGACAAGGCACCGGTGCAGCCTCAGCAGCCCTCAGGGACAACCCCCGGCGGCACGGACGACAAATCGAGCGGCAAGGAGCGGCGGGATGTGGGAGACAAGGACAAAGAGCAGGAGCTGGTGAGGCGCGATCCCGGGAGCCGGCGGAGGAGGCCGCGGGGCTGAGTCACCGCGTTCCCGCAGGCCTCGGGCCCGACTCCCAACGGCCCCTCAGCGTCTGGGAGAGGGAAATGGGGAGACCCCTGAGGCTCCCGGCACTGTTCCTCTCTGCTTGCCTTTCTCTGTTCCACGCTGCCACCTTCGCCATCCCCAACAACCCTCATCACCGCCTTTTGAGATGAGATCGGAGTCCTAGTTATCCTATCCAGCGGAGCCTGGCTCAAAAACTGCCTTTCCCGTAGGGCTTCCTATTCCCGCCCCTTCTTGTCCACTTGGTCCCTGCTAGGAGGTTGGCGCCCTCTCCACCTGCCGCGGGGTGAATGGGAGGAGGATTTGAGTGGGATCCTTCTTTTGATGAGCTTCTTTCTCCAACCCTCCAGTCCGAGGAGGACAAACAACTTCAAGATGAACTGGAGATGCTCGTAGAACGACTGGGGGTGAGTCATGGGTTAATGCGAAACGGTGCATATGCGGATCTTTTCCTTTTGTTCGTTTTATTCTGTTTTGAGGCAACAACTCCTACGTGAGATGGACCGTATTTTAGGGTCAGTGTTACGATGAAGATGTAAAGGAGGAGAGTTACAAAGGCTGTTTGAAGTGGACTACTTGTTTTTGTGTCAGGCCATGTGCAGGGTGTTGGGGAAGGACAGGTGAATGAGACAGTTCTGTCCCTAGTGGAAATGCTGTTGAAGTGTTTCTGTGTTAGGAGTTGGAGAAGTGTGACTCCTTTTGTCTGAGACTAACATCTCCTGATCAGGAAAAGGACACATCTCTGTACCGACCAGCTCTGGAGGAACTTCGAAGGCAGATTCGTTCTTCTACAACTTCTATGACTTCAGTGCCCAAGCCTCTCAAATTTCTGCGTCCACACTATGGCAAACTAAAGGAAATCTATGAGAACATGGCTCCAGGGGAGAATAAGGTAACACTGTTTCAGAAGCTGATGGAGGATCCACTTGAAGAATTCCTTTTCATCTAGACCATGGGGCTTGCTAGAAACCTAATAAATCTAATATCTGGTGTGGTTGAACAGAATTCATTACAATTAAAAAATATAAACAACAAAACAAACACAACAAAAGTGCTAAAAGGAGGGGCTGGGGATTTAGCTCAGCGGCATAAGCGCCTGCCTTGCAAGCAGGCAGTTGTGAGTTCGATCCCCGGTACCGATAAAAAAGAAAAAGACAAAATAAAAAGGTGCTAAAAGGAGGAACAACACCTCAAATGATAGTTCTATGATTTATTTTGGACCTTGAGATATATTCAATAGTTTTCTCTTCTATCTCATGTATTTGCAAAACGTTAAAAAAAAAAAAATCTCTAAATTATGTGCAGTTCAATTACCTCTCTGCCTGGTGTTATAATCCTAAACTAGAAATCTTTAGTTCTCACTGAATTTCATGATCAGCCTCCTAACTGACCTAATTTTTGTTCTTCTTACGTAGTCTATTTTTCATATAGTAGCCATAGCAATCTTTCTAGGTCTTTTTTGCTTGAAACTTAATTACTTTTTTGGTTTTTTTTTGGTACTGGGGTTCGAACTCGTGACCTTGCTCTTGCTAGGCAGGCGCTTATGCCACTGAGCTAAATCTCCAGCCTAATCGCTTATTATTGCAGTCAGACTTCCAACTCAGGGATGGTTATGTACCTGTAGTCCTAGCTACATAAGAGGCTAAGGTAGGAGCACCTCTTGAGTCCAGGAATTTGGGGCCAGCGTGGTAAATACAATAAGAGCCCATGTCTTAGAATAAATTAGGGCAGGCAGGGTGCACATACCTGTAATCCCAGCATTCAGGAGGACTACAGGTTCAAATCCAGAAAGTCATCTAGATGGGGCAACTCAGACGCTGCCTCAGTGGGAAAAAAAGAGCTGGGAGATAGCTCAGTGTGAAGACCCTCGCTTCTATTACCAATACCTCAAAAATAATATTCAGACTCCTCCTTTGTTGCTTCCCCCCCTTGCTTATCATTTTTATCATTTTCAGCTATGTTTATAAGAGATAGTGATCAATCTTAGGGTTATTTAGAGGCTTAACTTAGGAAACACTTTTAGTATAGAGATTGGTGTATATAGTTAGTAATTTGGGTGATAGTGACAGTGCTGTAAATCTCATCATACTCCCTTTACCCTAGACTATTGGGTTTGACTCCCAAGGACTCCTTTCTTTGTAGCGTTTCGCTGCTGATATTATCTCTGTTTTGGCTATGACCATGAGTGGGGAGCGTGAATGCCTCAAGTACCGGTTGGTGGGCTCCCAGGAAGAACTGGCATCGTGGGGTCATGAGTATGTGAGGTAAGAACTTCTCTGAGGCAGAGTTCTGAGTTCAGTCCTGGAGTACTCTCTGTACTAGAATATTGATGTATTGCATATCCCAGGCACTGAGTTCCTTGACCTACGGGGATCTGCTTTCCCTACCTCTGTGCACCCATAATGGTCTGTGCCTGTGTGTAGGCATCTGGCAGGAGAAGTGGCTAAGGAGTGGCAGGAGCTGGATGATGCAGAGAAAGTACAACGCGAGCCATTGCTTACTCTGGTGAAGGAGATCGTCCCCTACAATATGGCCCACAATGCAGAGCATGAGGCATGTGACCTGCTCATGGAAATCGAACAGGTGGACATGCTGGAGAAGGACATTGATGAGAATGCGTATGCAAAGGTCTGCCTGTATCTGACCAGGTGAGCGAGCATCATTGACATGGGTGTTGGAGCAGCCCTCCCTGCACTTCTTTCTCAGGTGTGCCTCTGTTCTCCCAGGGCATGTGCTTCAAGGGTCATGCCAGGCTGTAGTTAATTTGTTGATACTCATTAATTTCTTCAGGACAGGTTTTTGTGTGCTTTAGCAATCCCAGCATCTAGGTTAGTGTCTGGAATACAGTAGGCATCCAGTCTTTATTTTGAGTAAGTGAATTAAATGAGGTGACTAAATGTCTGAGACCTTGCAAATTCTCTATTACTTTTACCTTTGTAGTTGTGTGAATTATGTGCCAGAGCCTGAGAACTCTGCCCTGCTGCGTTGTGCCTTGGGAGTGTTCCGGAAGTTCAGCCGCTTCCCTGAAGCTCTGAGATTGGCACTGATGCTCAATGACATGGAACTGGTAGAAGACATCTTCACCTCCTGCAAGGATGTGTATGTGGGGAGGAAGTTGGCAGAGGAAGAGATAAGCCATGTGTGGAGTATTTTCATGAAGAGCTAGGACTTTCGGCTAGGCCTGAGGGGTTTTCTATTGCCCGTATGAACTGAAGTGGTGTGATGGCTTTCTCTCTCAGGGTGGTACAGAAGCAGATGGCATTCATGCTAGGCCGGCATGGGGTGTTCCTTGAGCTGAGTGAAGATGTGGAGGAGTATGAGGACCTGACAGAGATTATGTCCAATGTACAGCTCAACAGCAACTTCTTGGCCTTGGCTCGGGAGGTGAGAATCTTTTTCCTCTTTCTGTTATGGCTTTTTGATTGTAATTTTATTTTATTTATTTTTTTGGTATCAGAGATCGAACTCAGGGTCTCATGCTTGCCAGGCAGGTTTTGTGCCCTTGATTGTAATTTTATTTCTTTTTTTTAACTTTTTATCGGTACCAGGGATTGAACTCACGACTGCCTGCTTGCAAGGCAGGTGCTTATGCTGCTGAGCTAAATCCCCAGCTCTTGATTATAATTTTAAACTTTACGTGCCTGACCATACATCTGACTAGACGCTCCCTAGTGAGAATTGCTATGCAGTAAGATAAGATCTGCTGGGGAAGGGCTAGGCCTGCAGAGGTGACCCTCTGGCTTCTTTTCAGCTGGACATCATGGAGCCCAAGGTGCCTGATGACATCTACAAAACCCACCTGGAGAATAACAGTGAGTACTCGTCACTGTGTGTGGGGATGGAAGGATTGTTCATGCTCCCCTTATACTGGGAGTGGTAGTCCAGCTGCTTACCCTGAAGAGCTCAGCATTCCCCTGAGCCTTTCCTCTAGGCCTCTGGCGCATAGATAGAGAGTCCTAGAGGGACACCTCAGAACGAGACAGGCTACACACTGTGTTGCTTTCTGGTCCTATCCTCAGCCTGTCCTCTTCTTCCTCTACACAGGGTTTGGTGGCAGTGGCTCTCAGGTTGACTCGGCTCGCATGAACCTGGCCTCCTCTTTTGTGAATGGCTTCGTAAATGCAGCCTTTGGCCAGGACAAATTGCTTACTGATGACGGCAACAAATGGCTTTACAAGAACAAGGACCATGGTACAGTCTCATTACCTCTTTCCATCCTCCTCGAGTTGTGTGTTACCTGAAGAAGGTCACACGGTGGTGTTCCCGGGCTGGGGTGGGTGTAGGCATTTGCTGAGGGGAGGGCTCTTTCAAGGCTGATGGGTTCTTGCTTGGTGTAGGGATGCTAAGTGCAGCCGCATCCTTGGGCATGATTCTGCTGTGGGATGTGGACGGTGGCCTCACTCAGATCGACAAGTACCTGTATTCCTCGGAGGACTACATCAAGGTGGGTCTGGCTGCACCTGCTGGTTGGGGATTCTCCTGTTCTGGTGCACAGCAGTTCCTCCCTGTCCCTCACAAGGTGCATGCCTTCTTCACCTCGGTGAAGTTAGGTGCATGGTGAGGGCCATTGCATCCTCTGTGCCAGAGAAGGCACAGTGCCCAGGTAGGAAACCTGCTTGCTTTTTGCAGTCAGGAGCTCTCCTTGCCTGCGGTATTGTGAACTCGGGGGTTCGGAATGAATGTGACCCTGCCCTGGCACT